CCAATGTTGCTGTGTGGACTTCAGTATAACTGAAAAGGACTCGTACCCACTGCCAAGAATTGATGGTACTCTTGATGCCCTAAGTGGATTATATAAATAATATAATAAATTACATTTATTGATTTTTTCTGCTTAATATTATGGACACTTTCAAAACACAACCAATACTTCATTAACATTTGCTTACTAATTTAAAAGTTATAGCATGAAACTATAACAGACACACAATGGTTACGAGGTTCAGTCCCAGGGACTGAGCCCGTGCTGAAAGAGTTAAGTCTGTTAATATTAAGGCCTATTTTTTACTTGAAGACTGTTATCAGGATTACTCATATTGCTAGCTATAGAGTATAGCCAGCAAAAACTGTAACAAGTATGTTAGCACAAATCAACTTTCATGAAAGGAATGATAGGAAATACAAAATCTTTTTATTATTTCGGAGCAAACTCGGGGAAAGTCACATGGAAACTGCAAATCCAAAGCTAAACCTTATTTTGGATATTTGTATACAAAGGCACGAACTGACAAGGCATCTCGGAGTTCATGTGGTGGTTCAACAAATGCAGTGGATCTACAACACCCCATGCTTGTTAATGATCAAAATTTCTTTGCAATAAGTCTATCTCATAATAATAATAATATATTAGACAAGATTAGATATTCATATCAGTGTCGATTCAGTGAATTTAACCTGTGATCTAATTTCCCGGCCGGGGGATAAGGGCCTCTTACATAAACTGGTGTTGGATTATAAATTTGTAATAGATCTTAATGGCTTAAGTGGAGTTCTCAAAATAGCTGTGGTTAGGGTAAAAAATTATTAAGTGCTCCAGCTGCACTGGGAGCCCGAAGCTCTAACCTTGAGCAACAATTTCAGCTGCAACATACTGCTACTGCAGGTCTGCAGCCCTGTCTAATGGTAATTTACTCTGCATGTAAACTTAAACATAGGCCTATGTATTATTGAGGCCTATAGATGTAAATTATATTACATATTATGTGAAAGGTTGTTGTACTTGTAATCAAATCCTAATATCATTAAAGTTAATTTTGTTAGAACAATATAAGCTTACTGGATAGTGAAATATTATATATATATATATATATAGTGTAAGGTTTATTAGTATTTAAACAGCACAAACAATACAACTATATTTAAGTTGAAGTAATTTTTACACTTTATATTAATATATAGGCTCTAAGCTGTTTTAGATATTCTGGGCATAAGCTATCGTTGAGATTGACCTATTTTGAAAGGTCGAAAGGACATATCTTGCCACAGTGGCATTTTAATTTTTGAATTATGCAACAGGTGTTACCTGTTTTTAATTTAAGGAGTTTTGAAAATTAAATTCCAGTTGCCCTACATTTTGTTATCTAAAGTCTGTCATTTTTCTAGACTGTACCTCAAAGACCAGTAAAATAAAATGCCTGCAACAGAGGAGGGCATATAAGCAGAGTACTGAAGTACAGCCTGCAGATGTCAACAACTACAATGTCTGGATATCTTGCTAACGTCCATGAGCTGCATTTTCAGGAGCCCACTTCAAGCAGAACAAGCTTATATCTGACACTATGAATCCTGTCAAGTCTGATTGTGAAATGAACAGAGACTATGTTGCATGGATGGCACTTGAGCTGTTGCCTTTCAGTTTTGTGGAGTATGATGGCCTGTGATATTTCTTTGACAAGAACTTTGCTAAATATGTTCCCTCTAATTTTTTTCAGTCCATGTGTAGAATGAATTTTTTTCATGTGCACCAGTAACAAGGCAATGTGCAGATGTGCACTACTAGTTTTTTTTTTTTTTTGGGGGGGGGGGGGGTTGTAGTGGTGTTTTTAGACCATCGATCCTA